CAGCCTGTTTGTTTTACTAAAATATAAAAAAAAAAAAAAAAAAAAAAAAAAACACTCTACGAAGCAGAGAAAATGAGCGTTTGGAGAAGCTGCCTTGTCAGATATCAGCAATTAAATTCGCCCGTAATATGCCGCGGCAATCAACTTCTGTGCCAGAAGAAGCTAGAGCAGTGCATTGGCGAAACATTCTCTTGCGATTTGCGCTTGCGTTCAATTGTGGAAGCACGGAGACCGAACAAAATCGCCTAGTCTATCACTTAAGAGACAAAAACAATCAACAAAAGCGAAGATTTCTGAGCGAGAAATTGCAAGACGTAAGGGATAAACAAAAGAAGCGAAATACGACTCCGCGGATGAAATCAGTTGTCGTGAAAATTGTTACTGCTCAACTCATGGGTTGACACGTTTTAATCGCTTATCACAGTTTGCAGCTCATTGCCGGACTCGTTTTAAAAATTTACGTTTTCGCGGATAACTCGTTCGCGTTTTAAGTTTTTAAAATAATTTGGTTTTTGGAAAATTCAGATAAAGTAGAAGTTTTGAATCTGGTGTGAAAAATTTTTGAACAAAATAGGCCCTTGAAGGTCTAGAGTAACTTCAATGCATTTTGTAAATTAGCTGTAAAATACCTTTGTTAATTAGCTGTAGATTAGCTGTTGATTTTGTAAATTAGCTGTAAATTAGCTGTTGAGATTTTAATTTTTGTGTATTGGCCACCGATTAAAACCAGTCAATTGACTGACCGGTTTTCCTTTTCTCCAGTATAACTTAAGTATATATTATGATTATTGTTATTATCGGTTTTGAAATTTTCTAGGTCTACGATCAACGAGGCACACGTATATTTCCCACTATCTTTTCTTTCAGGATGAGTAGTACAAAGCATGCTCTGTTGTATGTTTCTATAGTTATCCTTTTGGCTGCGTACAAAGCACTTGCAGGTAAGCTAAGTGAAATGAACGTTTAAATCCCTTACCTGTACAAGATGATAAACTATGTTTTTTGAACAAAGCAGCAACATTTATATTATTGATGCAGTAACATTTCACCGCGATGTAATCTAAAAATTTGGACATTTTATTGTAGCTTCCTTAAACGCCCCATCGGGAACATTCAAGATTTCTGACCAAGGCGTACTGGGCCAAGGTGCCTACTCCATCTCAAACGACCTTGCGGAAATAGGACTTAAACTGGTAATACCAATAGCATCAAGCATATCAAAAGACAAGGCTACCGCGACTATTACTTCACTCCCTCCTGTTTCCAATCCGTCCAGTGTATCCGGTGCGTCCAGCTCGTCAGGAGCTACCAGTCCCTCTAGTGTGCCCAGTGCTTCCGGTCTGCCTGGTGCTACTGGCCCGGTCGCTGCAGCCGGCGCACTCTCTCCGTCCTCTCCGTCTAGCCCCGTGGGAACAAATGGAGCAGGAATTTCCGGAGGCATTCTAACTCCAGCAGGTTGGCAAAATGAAAATTATATACTAAGAAATCCTTTAACTCTGATTAGATGATAGATTTGAATTTATCAAGGCCGTGTAAGAAAATCTAAGGTCAAAAGATCCTTTAAGCTGAAACTTATGGGAAAACTGGGAAGATAACAGTTATTTTTTACAAGCATATTGTAGGTTTAATGTAATTTCTTGCCTAAGACAACTCATCTCAATCTGGAAACTGAGTGACGCATTTTAAAATCGTTTCAGATAATCAGTTCATTGATGACATGGTTGCAATTCACAACGAACTTCGGTCGGTGCACTTTTCTCCTCCAATTCAGAATAACACACAGATGTCCATCGAAGCCAAAGAGTGGGCACAGATACTTTCCGAAGAAAAAGATCTGAGACATTCCCCGCCTGATTCAAGAGAAAACCAAGGTGAAAGCCTTGCAATGGGATGCACAACAGCTGCTGAGGAAGGAATCACCGCTAAGGAAGCTATCGCGAAATGGTAAATCTCATAAAAACTAAGGTCAACCTTGTCTCGTGCAGTGGATTAAATGACAGACTGAGTGTTTTATTAATTGACTGAGTATTAAAAGGTCGGTTAACTTCTTTTAATGTTTCTCGTTTATCGATGCCCATTAACTCTAATGATGGCTTATTAACTGATTACTTGATCGATTGATCAATGGAATGATTAATTTAACTATCCTCCATTTATTTCTTCGGTCATTCGTACGTTTATTTGACTTAGTGCGACATACTGAATGACATAGTGACTGATTGTCTGACTGACTGGCTGACTGATTAAATGACTGACAGGCTGGAAGGAGGGCTGGTTGAGTTACTTTTCACTCCTGGATGAAATAAAATAGACTGATTAGGGCGATTTGCGAGTGAGTGTCGAAGTAATCAGGGAATTATTTTGGTTTTGGTTTTGTTTTATTGCGGCTTGAGAATGGCTGAGTAATCAAATTGGTAAGTAATTGGTTTGGTTTTGGCTTTACGATACTCAGTCGAAAACCGCTCTAATTGACCAACGATTAATTATTGATTAAATGATTCTTCCAGGTACGACGAAGCCTGTTGCCATGATTTCTCTATTCATGGCTTTCGAAATGTCTCCGGACATTTTTCTCAGCTAGTCTGGAAAGCTACAGAGGAAATCGGCGTTGGCCGAGCATTTGGCACCAAGTGGGGAATGAACTGTTCTTTCATTGTTGCGCGTTACAAACCGAAAGGGAACATTGATAGTGAAGCAAATTTCAGGGAAAACGTTGAGAGGGGCACCTTTGATCCAGTGGCGTACAACTGCTCTGCTGTGATATGCCAATCTGAAGGAGAAGAAATAGAAGAAGAAGAAGAAGAAGAAGCGGGGAGCCAAGGTCGAGACAGTTCAAAAAACAAACTGCACAATAACCTGATACCGGTTAAATCTAGGAATGCTGACAAAAATGAAATTCTAAGCAACAATGAACCCCAGAGGCTTGGCAATGTCCTAGGTTCTCGAGATTCCCATAGTTACATGAAAACCCCAGAAAGTTATTCAAAACAGCTGTCACCAAGTAATGTTGAATACAACATTAAGCAATACACAGAGAAAAGTCAGAAGCAATACGCATCAAACGGTGTCAACCAGGACGAAGGAAGACCTCGGTCCTTAGTGTACAGAGCTAAGATACCTCGGGTCTCGCCCATAAAAGTGCTGTAAATCACTTAATTTATTCCTCAGTGGAGGGGATCTACATGTCAAATTACTGAAGCATAAGCATAAAATATAATTCTATCGTGGTTTTTCATGTAATGGAAAACCGGCCCCTAATAAGTCCTGTTTTCAGTACGTTATAAACACAAGCACAACAGTAAAACAAGATGGCGGACTTTAGCTTATGGATATACTTATACTGAGCGCGTTCTCATTTGACTTAGCATAAGCACATAACACAAGAAGAATAAAATCCTATCGTTTTGCTTGTGATTGTGCGTATGCTTGTATTGTCGGCGTCTTCACTACGGTTATGGACGTTATGCTTATCCTAGTGCTTGTGCTTATATGTTGTTGTTAAAACCAGGCTTGATATATCACTTCACAAAACGCTCAAAGTGAGGTTATAGTTATTCTTAATGGCATTTCTTTGCGAAGACTAACAAATTAAACAGGCCATCACCCTTATGAACATGAAACAGTTTGCCAGTTTGGGGACCTCTACCCCACGTGTCTCGTTTCTTAAGATGGCCGAAAAGTTAACAAAAACAGATACAATAGCTTAAGGGGTAAACGAACGACAAGCAAAATATACGCAAAATTACGAATTAATGACCATAATCAAACGTCTATAGGAACTTTTTCAAATGTTGGTAATGCTAGTGTAACTGCTAAGAACTGCTGCCGTAGCTGATAATTAAAAGAAAATTAGCTCTCAACAGTGTTCTGTGCCTTGTTTCAAATCGTTTTGAATTAATTTTCTCTAGCAACAAAAGTTTGTCAATAGGCGATTTTCTAAATGGCGGCATTCGACTACAAGTTACGGAATCCTTCACTTCTTCTTTTTCCCATGTTTATTTGGGAATGTTTC